TTACAGGCGTGAGCCACCGTGCCTGGCACTTGCTTGTAGCTTTCTACAGAACAAATCTCACAGCTTGGTACTCAGCTCTTCATTTTATAATCTCCATGCAGGCCACTAGACGTTCACGTTTATTGTTTTCAGGCAGTATTATATATTTTCTAACATTTTCTATTTTAATAAAAACTTTTTGTGACCAGGCATGTGGTGACTCATGCCTGCAATCCCAGCACTTTGGGAGGCCAAGGCAGGAGATCACTTGAAGCCAGGGGTTCAAGAACAGTCTGGGCAATATATGGGAGGATCACTTGAGCCCAGGAGGTCAGGGCTGCAGTGAGCCATGATCGTGTCACTGCACTCCAGCCTGGATGACAGAGTGAGACCCTTTCTCCAAACAAAAAACAAAAAAATTTTTTTGTTACTTCTAAGGAAGTGTATTTATTTCTTTTCATGTATGTAGCTTTACTCCTAGATAGAAGTAAAGCCCTGAACTCGGAAAAAGAGATGGAAAAAGCCCTGAACTCAGAGTTAGATGACCTAGGATCTAGCTTGTCAACTCACTTTGTGAATTTGGGAAAATTACTTGAACCATTGGGGTCTACATAAGTATTTTTTTTTTTTTGAGACGGAGTCTTGCTCTGTCGCCCGGGCTGGAGTGCAGTGGCCAGATCTCAGCTCACTGCAAGCTCCGCCTCCCGGGTTCACGCCATTCTCCTGCCTCAGCTTCCCGTGTAGCTGGGACTACAGGTGCCCGCCACCACGCCCAGCTAGTTTTTTGTATTTTTTAGTAGAGACGGGGTTTCACCGTGTTAGCCAGGATGGTCTCGATCTCCTGACCTCGTGATCCGCCCATCTCGGCCTCCCAAAGTGCTGGGATTACAGGCTTGAGCCACCGCGCCCGGCCCATAAGTATTAAGATCCTGTCTAAGTCCAGGCACAGTGGTTATGCCTATAATCCCAGCACATTAGAAGGTCAAGGCAGGAGGATTGCTTGAGCCCAGGAGTTTGAGACCAGCCTGAGAAATACAGTGAGACCCCATCTATACAAATAATTTAAAAATTAGCCAGGCATAGTAGCACATGTCTGTGGTCCCAGCTACTTAGGAGGTGGAGGTGGAAGAATCGCCTAAGTCCAAGTGGTCAAGGTTGCAGTTAGCCATAATGACGCCACTGCACTCCAGCGTGGGTGACAGAGTAAGACCCTGTCTCAAAAAAAAAAAAAAAAAAAAAAAGAATTCTAAAACTCTGTAATTTTTGTTATTTACATAGCAAATGTAGAGACTATTATAAGCATAAGGTTGTGCTGTATGCTTTGGAAAAGCAGATAATTTAAATATCTGATACACGATTTTGCTTGCTTATAATCAGTTGAGGAAATAAGACCAGTAAACAATGAAAAGTTTAAAAAGCTTCAAAGGGAGTAGATATAAAAAATGTCTTAGGGAAGACTTACAGGCAAAAAGTATATTTCAACATGCCTGTTAAAATCCTGGCATGAGGTGTTCGAATAGTAACACTACATGGAAAAGTCAAATAAGAGACTCCATTTTTCCATGACTTACAAATTATATATGTAATGAGAAAGTAAGCTATTCATTTGATAAATATGTATAGCATATCCATGATATCAAATGAAATGATACTTGCTGTCTTACTAGATGTTAGGGAATTCACACTGAATTATAATTATGTAATTATAATCCACACAGAATTATATCTGTAAATTCTACCCATAACAAACAGTACAATAGAAAAAATAGCTACAGGCCGGGCGCGGTGGCTCAAGCCTGTAATCCCAGCACTTTGGGAGGCCGAGGCGGGCGGATCACAAGGTCAGGAGATCGAGACCATCCTGGCTAACACGGTGAAACCCCGTCTCTACTAAAAAATACAAAAAACTAGCCGGGCGAGGTGGCGGGCGCCTGTAGTCCCAGCTACTCGGGAGGCTGAGGCAGGAGAATGGCGTGAACCCGGGAGGCGGAGGCTGCAGTGAGCTGAGATCCGGCCACTGCACTCCAGCCTGGGTGACAGAACAAGACTCCGTCTCAAAAAAAAAAAAAAAGAAAGAAAAAATAGCTACATAGATATGGTTGTAACAAAATCTAAAAAGTATAATAATGGAGATAGGAATAAAAATAATGTATAAAGAGAGAAGGCTGTTTTGGAATAATGGAAAGAGTAGGAATTCTGAAGTTGACATATCTGGATTTAGTCTCAATTCTGTCTCTTATCATGTATTTTGGGCAAATCACAGTTTTCTTAGGGGTGATAAAAAGTACTTAATAGAGTTATTACGAAGACTAAATGAAAAGAAAAAAAAGCTCATGTTTGTAATCCCAGCACTTTGGGAGGCTGAGGTGGGAGGATCACCTAAAGCCAGGAGTTTGAGACCAGTATGGTCAACATAGTGAGATTCTGGCTCTACCCAAAAAAAAAAAAAAAAATTAACCGTGCATGGTGGCACACATCTGTAGTCTCAGCTACTCAGGAGGTTGAAGCAAGAGCATCACTTGTGCTTGGGAGTTCGAGTCTGCAGTGAACTATAATTGTGTCACTGCACTCCAGCCTGAGTGACAGTGATCCCATGTCAAAAAAAAAAAAAAAAGATAAGAAAAGAAAAATGATTAATTGAGGTAGTATATGCTAAGTACCTAATACTAAATATATATAAGTAGAAAAATATGCTTATTTTGTTTATTTTTACTATTTTCAGGGGTGACAGTTTTTAAAAATGACTTCTTTTTTTTTTTTTTTTTTTTGAGACGGAGTCTCGCTCTGTCACCCAGGCTGGAATGCAGTGGCGCAATCTCCGCTCACTGCAAGCTCCGCCGCCTCCCGGGTTCACACCATTCTCCTGCCTCAGCCTCCCTGGAAGCTGGGACTACAGGCGCCCGCCACCACGCCTGGCTAATTTTTTTTTGTATTTTTAGTAGAGACGGGGTTTCACCGTGTCAGCAAGGATGGTTTCGATCTCCTGACCTCATGATCCGCCCACCTCAGCCTCCCAAAGTGCTGGGATTACAGGTGTGAGCCACTGTGCCCAGCCGGTATATTCAAAGATTTTTAAGGAAATCTACTCATATGCTTTGGGAGGTAATCAAGCTGAAAGAAGTAATTAGTAGTAGTAGGGATGATTATTATTATAGCTAGATTTTTTTTTCTGCTCTTAATTACCACCTGCAATCTATAGATGAGGAAACAAAGAATTAAACTGGTAAATGAGGTTGTACAATTAGTCAGATGCAGAGATTATATTTAAGCTCAGGTAGCTTTCTTCTAGTGCCACACTCTTAGCTACTATGCTGTTAACTTACCTAACTGTACCTACATGTTTGTGTTTCTTCACATTTTTTTACTGAATTGTGTATAACCTTTAGTAATATGTTTATTAATGTTTTCTTATATCTGTTTTAGTAGAGTTTCCTTTTGTACCTCCGAAAGTATAATATAAAAATGGAATTATGGATGCCTTATGTAGTTTTAAAACCAGTTACTTTTCAAACATAAATTTTTTTAGGGTAAAACTATGATAAAACTAATTTATAACTGGAATTTCAAAGCTATTATCTTCTTGTTTTTTGAAAGAGAAAAGGGGGAAAAGGAAATAAAAAGTGAAGGGGGAAGGGAGAAAAATAAGAAAAAGCGAGACAGAGGCACTGCAGGATCTGCCCTGGGGGAAGGCTAAGGAGGGAGGGGCTATTATTTTTAGTCAATATAGACTTTAATTCTCTTGTCATTGTATGTAGTTTTTTCTTTCTTTTTTTTCTTAATGAAAAATTGGAGTTGGATAGATTAGATCTTCCCATTCTTACTTTCTCTGACTAAATTGACTATGATTAAATTAGTTAATATTTCTCAGACTCAATTTTCTCTCCTGAGAAATGGGAATAACAGTACTACAATATAGAATATAATTTGCTAATCCTTAATAAGTGTTAGCTTCATTTGCCCTTCTCTTCCTTTGCCTTTTTAATTCTAGAATCTAAAATAAGTATATGCTGTGACTGAACAGGTAAGATAGTTGACTCAAGTTTTAATCATTTTGCCTTTAAGTGTTATGGGTGATTACATTGTAGGTATGATCAGAATAATACAGAAGTATTTATGAAGATCCTGTACTTTTTTCTTGAAGAAAAGTTCAGTCCAAGGGGCTGTTTGTTATATTTATAGGTACCTTTACAGGAAATGCTTTCAGCCATGAGACTAATCCTCATGGACTTGTGGTTATTAATAGCCACAAATTGTAATAACAGTTCAAAAATGAAAACTTAATTCTGTCTTCTTTTTACAGCAACTTCTTCAAATACTGAAGCAGAAAACCAATCAAAATTCAGTGGACACTATGTTGAAATTTACTTTGGGCCGGGCGTGGTGGCTCAAGCCTGTAATCCCAGCACTTTGGGAGGCCGAGACAGGCGGATAACGAGGTCAGGAGATCGAGACCATCCTGGCTAACACGGTGAAACCCCGTCTCTACTAAAAAATACAAAAAAAAACTAGCCGGGCGAGGTGGCGGGCGTCTGTAGTCCCAGCTACTCTGGAGGCTAAGGCAGGAGAATGGCGTGAACCCGGGAGGCGGAGCTTGCAGTGAACTGAGATCTGGCCACTGCACTCCAGCCTGGGTGACAGAGCGAGACTCCGTCTCAAAAAAAAGAATTAAAAAAAAAAAAAAAAGAAAAAGAAATTTACTTTGAATGCACTTTGGAACCTCACAGATGAATCGCCAACCACTTGTAGACACTTTATGAAAATCAAGGGTTAGAACTCTTCATGAGGGTTATAGAGGTCAGAATGGGAATTTAGCTTACAGTTTTGATATTTATTAATTACTTACTCTAGCATTCATTTTATATTTGGTTCTTTAGGTAATTATAGGTTTCTCTTTTTACAGTCTTTCCTAACTGAGTCATCCATTTAGCAGAAAGTTCTAGGACTTTCGGTAAGATATAAGCACTTCCTGCTAATTTCCAACCTGTATTTATTTCTGTCTGAAGTAACACATTGAAAGTTGCAGCTCTGCAGTGGCAGTATCATAGCCAATGAGGTCTATCCAAGGCACAATGCTAATTGAGAACTATTCCCAATACCTCACCATGACGACTTGAAATATGGCCGGCAATGGTAATTTCTTTTCTTTTCTTTTTTTTTTTTTTTTTGAGACAGGGTCTCACTTTGTTGCCCAGGCTGGAGTGCATTGGTGTGATCACAGCTCACTGCAGCGTTGACCTCCTGCTGGGCTCAAGCAATTCCCCCAACTCAGTCTCCCTAGTAGGTGGGACCATAGGTGTGTGCCACAATGCTCAGCTAATTTTTGTATTGTTTGTAGAGATGGGGTTTTGCCATGTTACCGAGGCTGGTCTGAAACTCCTGAGCTCAAGTAGTCCTCCTACCTCAGCCTCCCAAAGTGCTGGCATTGTAGACATGAGCTGCCCGGTTGGCAATGGCAATTTTTGACGATTTCTAGGTGAATGAACAAAAAAAGAAATAAAGAAAGCTGCTGCTATGATACTTGTAAACAATGACATTGGAAAATAAATATTATTAAATTTTAAAAGACTATGAATATATATAATATATATAATATGTATTATATATATTATATATATGCCGGGTTTGGTGGTTCACACCTGTAATCCCAGCCCTTTGGGAGGCCGAGGTGGGCAGATCAGCTGAGGTCAGGAGTTCATGAGCTGTCTGGCCAACGTGGTGAAACCCCATCTCTACTAAAAACACATAAATTAGGCGGGCGTGGTGGCGGGTGCCTGTAATCCCAGCTACTTGGGAGGCTGAAGCAGGAGAATGGCTTGAATCCGAGAGGCGGAGGTTGCAGTGAGCCGAGATCACGCCATTGCACTCCAGCCTGGGCAACAAGAGCAAAACTCCATCATACATATATATATAATATATTTATATACACACACACACATATATACACACATATATATACATATATATAAATATTTTTGCCATATTAAAAGGAAAAATATAAATATGCATACACTTCTTTATATTTTTTGGTATTGTACAAAGTTTCACACTGGGCATGTTTTACTTTTTTTTATTTATTTTTGAGATAGGATCTGTCACTCTGTTGCCCATTGTGGAGTGCAGTGGCACAATCATGGCTCACTGCAGCCTCGACCTGCTAGGCTCAAGCAATTTTCTCACCTTAGCCTCCCAAGTGCTAGGACTATAGGCATGTGCCACTATGCCCAGCTTATTTACCTATTTATTTTTGCAGGCTGCAGTCTCGCCATGTTGCACAGGCTACTCTCAAATTCCTGGGCTCAAACAATCCTCCTGCCTCAGCCTCCTAAGGTACTGGGATTACAGGCAAGAGCCACCGCACTTGGCTTCGTGTTTCACTTTTATAATCAGAAAAACAGATCTCATTTAAAAATGTTGTTGTTAGGCTGGACACAGTGACTCATACCTGTAATCTCAACACTTTGGGAGGCTGAAGTGAGAAAATGTCTTGAGCCCAGGAGTTTGAGACCAGCCTGGGCAACAAAGCATGACACCATCTCTACAAAAAATAAAATAGGAAAATTAGCTGAACGTGGTGATATGCACCTGTAGTCCCAGCTAGTGGGGAGGCTGAGGCGGGAGGATCACTTGAGCCTAGGAGTTTGAGGGCTGCAGTGAGCTGTGCTCATCCCACTGCACTCCAGCCTGGGTGACAGAGCTCTCTCTCTCTTTTTTTTTTTTTTTTCATACGGAGTCTTGCACTGTTGCCCGGGCTGGAGTGCAGTGGCACAATCTCGGCTCACTGCAACCTCTGCCTCCCAGGATCAAGCGATTCCCCTGCCTCAACCTCCTAAATAGCTAGGATTACAGGCACCTGCCACTAGGCCCAGCTAATTTTTTGTATTTTTTTAGTAGAAACGGGGTTTCACTATTTTGGCCAGGCTGGTCTGAAATTCCTGACCTTGTGATCCATCTCTCTTTTTTCTTTTTTGTTTTTGAGACGGAGCCTCGCTCTGTCGCCCAGGCTGGAGTCTCGCTCTGTCACCCAGGCTGGAGTGCAGTGGTGGGATCTCGGCTCACTGCAAGCTCCACCTCCTGGGTTCTCACCATTCTCCTGGCTCAGCCTCCCGAGTAGCTGGGACTACAGGCCCCCGGCACCACGGCCGGCTAATTTTTTGTATTTTTTGTAGAGACGGGGTTTTGCCGTGTTAGCCAGGATGGTCTCGATCTCCTGACCTCATGATCTGCCCACCTCAGCCTCCCAGAGTGCTGGGATTACAGGCTTGTGCCACCGTGCCTGGCCAATTTGTCTCTTAAAAAGAGAGAATTCATTAACCTACAAGATTCTGTGTTTGTAGTTAATGATTACTACTTAAAAAGTGCTTACAAAGGCCTGGCACGGTGGCTCACGCCTGTAATCCCAGCACTTTGGGAGGCTGATGTGGGCGGATCACCAGAGGTCAGGAGTTTGAGACCATCCTGGCCAACATGGTGAAACCCTGTCTCTATTAAAAATACAAAAATCAGCCAGCCGGGCGCAGTGGCTCAAGCCTGTAATCCCAGCACTTTGGGAGGCTGAGATGGGCGGATCACGAGGTCAGGAGATCGAGACCATCCTGGCTAACACGGTGAAACCCCGTCTCTACTAAAAAATACAAAAAAAAAAAAAAAAAAGGCCGGGCGCGGTGGCTCAAGCCTGTAATCCCAGCACTTTGGGAGGCCGAGACGGGCGGATCACGAGGTCAGGAGATCGAGACCATCCTGGCTAATACGGTGAAACCCCGTCTCTACTAAAAATACAAAAAACTAGCCGGGCGAGGTGGCGGGCGCCTGTGGTCCCAGCTACTCGGGAGGCTGAGGCAGGAGAATGGCGGGAACCCGGGAGGCGGAGCTTGCAGTGAGCTGAGGTCCGGCCACTGCACTCCAGCCCGGCGACAGAGCAAGACTCCGTCTCAAAAAAAAAAAAACAAAAAAAAAAAAACTAGCTGGGCGAGGTGGCAGGCGCCTGTAGTCTCAGCTACTCGGGAGGCTGAGGCAGGAGAATGGCGTGAACCCAGGAGGCGGAGCTTGCAGTGAGCTGAGATCTGGTCACTGCATTCCAGCCTGGATGACAGAGCGAGACTCCGTCTCGAAAAAAAAAAAAAAAAATTCAGCCGAGCGTGCTCGTGGACGCCCATATCCAGCTACTCAGGAGGCTGAGGCAGGAGAATCGCTTGAACCTGGGAGGCAGAGGTTGCACCACCGCACTCCAGCCTGGGAGACAGAGCAAGACTCTGTTTCAAAAGAAAAAAAAAGGACTACTTACGAATCACATATTTCTTAATATATTGGATATGGATTAAAGTGAGCCCTCTAGGATTTTGAGACAAAGGTAAAAGATCAAATATTTTGTCAATTTAAATTGCTGTAACAGGTAAAGTGCCTATGTGGCAAAAGCCATTTTATTTTATTTTATTTATGTATTTATTTTTTGAGATGGAGGCTGGCTCTGTCACCCAGGCTGGAGTGTGGTGGCGTGATCTTGGCTCACTGCAAGCTTGGCAAAATTACAAGTATCCTTGCACAGGGGCCATGCTAATCTCTGTACCCTTCCAATTTTAGTATGTGTGCTGCCAAGCGAGCACGCAAAAACCATTTTATTTATTTATTTATTTATTTAATTTTTTTTTTTGAGGCGGAGTCTCGCTCTGTAGCCCGGGCTGGAGTGCAGTGGCCGGATCTCAGCTCACTGCAAGCTCCGCCTCCCAGGTTTACGCCATTCTCCTGCCTCAGCCTCCCGAGTAGCTGGGACTACAGGCGCCCGCCACCTCGCCCGGCTAGTTTTTTGTATTTTTTAGTAGAGACGGGGTGTTCGCCAGGATGGTCTCGATCTCCTGACCTCGTGATCCACCCGTCTCGGCCTCCCAAAGTGCTGGGATTACAGGCTTGAGCCACCGCGCCCGGCCGCAAAAACCATTTTAAAGCAGACCTCTGCTCTCAAGGAATTAGATTATGGGAGGCATAGATTAGTGAGTTAAAAAAATATAAATTGGAGCTTGTTTTCCACATGCAAGCCGTGAGGAGATGGATTTTTAGGAAAGCTGAGGATTGCCATTTAAGGAGGACCTATTTGTTCATTGTAGCCTTCATGGAAAACAACCTAAATGTCCAGTAATAGAGGAATTATTAAATAAATTACAGTATTTGATTGTTTTATTCAGGGTTAATATGATTTTTTGATACAGAAGTTGCCTGAGGTCACCTGAAATGGAAAGGGGAAATTTATTTTTAAGTATTTGAGGGTCAGGTGCAGTGGCTCATGACTGTAATCCCAGCACTTTGGGAGGCTGAGGTGGGTGGTGGATCACGTGAGGTCAGGAGTTCAAGACCAGCCTAGCCAACATGGTGAAACCCTATTTCCACTGAAAACACAAAAATTAGCCAGGCGCGGTGGCACATACCTGTCCCAGCTACTCGGAAGGCTGAGGCAGGAGAATTGCTTAAATCTGGGATGTGGAGGTTGCAGTGAGCCGAGATCTCATCACTGCACTCCAAGCCTGGGTGATAGAGCAAGACTCCATCTCAAAAATAAATAAATAAATAAATATATATATATACACACACATAAATCCTATGTTTTGTTTAAATTTCAAAAGGAATACATGTTTATTATAACTAGTAAAACAGCACAAAAATGTATTTAATATCCTTACGGTGTTGTCTCCAACGTTTCATCATTTTTATCTCCATGAAGTCACTAATATTAATACAACTTTATATGTTTCCTTCCATATTTTTCTCTATTACCTTGAGACAACATTTTTTCAATAATTTAATTTGAGATATTGATTCTAATTTAATTCTTTATGGTCAGAGAATATGCTTTGATTGGTTTGAGTCCTTCTGAATTTATTGAGACTTGTGTATGGCCAAGGATATGGTCTATTTTGGTAAATATTCCATGTACACTTGAGAGGAATGTGTATTGTCTTATTATTGGGTATAGTGGTGTTCTTTCTTTTTTTTTTTTTTTTGAGACGGAGTCTCGCTCTGTCGCCCAGAGTGCAGTGGTGCAATCTTGGCTTACTGCAAGCTCTGCCTACTGAGTTCACGCCACTCTCCTGCCACAGCCTCCCGAGTCGCTGGGACTACAGGCGCCTGCCCCCACACCCGGCTAATTTTTTTTGTATTTTTAGTAGAGACGGGGTTTCACT